TAGTGGGGAAACATTGATCTACTGGTTGCCTCCTTAGGTACCATGACTAGGGAGTAAATCTGAAACCTAAGTTGTGCCTTGACCTGGAAATGAACCCACAAATTTTTATTGCAGGTGACAACATTCCAATTAACTATACCTGCGATGGCTATACATTTTTAAAATAAGGAAAATTTTATTTCAGAAGGCTAGATTGACAAGAAACATGCTAGATTTCCAAAATTAACTGTGAAAAACAGATCATCTGGGCCTGACTGAAAGCCATGCTTAGCCTTTGTTCCCTTTCAAAAATGTCACTTTCTGCTTATTCAATGTTACTGTCATTCTATTATTTTAAGCATTACAATTCGTGTTCTGGAGCTGAAGGGGAATTATTGTTTCTATCTTTGGGCTTATTAGAACTAATTTAAAATTCATTCAATAGCAATAAAAATCACCTTTATATGATTAAATGTTAAAGTTTGCAATGCAATTTTTGTCTTTTATTAGTAGTATTTCAGCATTCATATATATATATATATAAATATATATCAGGACTATTTTAAGTACCTTATAAAGGAACAGCTTTCTAAACATGAATTTTTTAAATTATTAATTCCTAGAGTTAGTGTAAAGTACAATTAGTCATGTGACAATGCTGCTTAAAATGTCAGACTTTGCCTTACAAAGGTAATTTTAAAAATAGCATGTATGATACTAGAAACAATTTTTTTTTGCTCTCTAAATTATTTACTCAGTATTTGGACTAAGATAAAATCAGATGATAAATGGAAAGTGGAGAGAAAAATCAGATCATTAGAAAATAAATATTTTCCTCCTATGATTTTCCAGAGAAGATCACTGGCCACTCACTCAGTTTTACAGGGTCTTTACATAAGGCTCAACATCATGAGATTGTAAGGGAGATATGGAATAGGAAGCAGATGATACTTGGGGAAAATGTGTCCTAATATTAAAGGAATGAATCTGTTTATTCATCCCAATCATCTATAATTGACTTAACAATTCACTCTCTATATAATCCTAAACAGTCTCATTTCAAGTTTGGAACAATATAGAAAAAGAGGACTGGGAAACAAAATGTGTTTGAATTATGAGTGCCTGCATTAGGCTCTTTTCAGCACACAAGGAAGGGGAGAGGGAAGAAGTTTGCACACATGCTGAAGCATTTCCTACATAAGATTGGCTGGAGAATTGCTTCAGCTGGTGGGAGACAGAATAGAGAGTAGTAAGGAGTCAATATGCTAAAGCAAATGACAGCAGCAAACAAAAACATCCAGAAAACGAGTGGAAATCCAATGGCAAACGCCTTGGCACAATTCAGAGGTTGCAGAGTCAACTGGAGAAGAAGAACCATAGTAACAGGTGGTGTACAGTGAAGGTGCTCTGGGGTGAGTACCTAGGAAGAGCATCTCTGTTTTCAGCTGCAATGTGCTCTCTTTAAAATGGTTTCAGAGGGCGAGGAGGTATAGGCAGGAACAGGGAGAAATTTAATGTAAAGATGGGGAAAAAGTTGTATTAATACTTAAAATAACAAAGCTAATTAAAGTACTCCAATTCTAGAGGAAGAAATTAAAATGATTGCTCATTACTCACTCAGCTTTACAGGGTCTTTATGGGAGGTTCAATAAGTACACAGCTATTTAAGTCAACTTGAGCTTCCTTGTTGAACTACCAAAGACTAGGTGGCTTAAACAACAGAGATTTATTTTCTCAGTTTTTGAGGTCAGAAGTCTAAGAACAAGGTGACAACCAACATGGTTGGTTTGTGGTGAGAACACCCTGCCTCGTTTGTAGATGGGTGCCTTTTTGCTACATCCTCACATGGTGAGAGAATGAGAGAGCAAGAAAACTCTGGTATCTTTTCTCATAAGGGTCCTAATCCCAACCATTATGAGAACTGAACCCTTATGATCCCACCTAAATCTAATTATCCCCCACAGACCTCAACCCCAAGAACCATAACATTGGGGGCTAGGACTTTACATGAATTTTGGGAAACTCAATTTAGTGCATAGAAATTGTCAGTTTTGATTATCTCAGAGTTACATATTAAATTTTATTCCCCATACTCAGACAATATCTGTACTTGGTTGGGCATTGATGTTATCCTCACTGTACAAATGTACTCTCTAAATTCCTTTCTAATGAATAATTGTTCTATCTTAATTCTAACTACATTGTGTTTTAGAAAAGAACCTTCTCTTTTTTCAATCATTTTATAAATAGCAAGGGTCTTTAGTGCATTTTTTTTTTCTGTTTCAATTGGAAAAAAAAAAAAAAAAGTGAATGTAACTTGTTGACATTTTGAATGCAACCCAAGCATTGGTCTTGCTCATTCCAAAGGCCTCCTTCTAGTCTAAGTAGGGTTGCTTATGAGGATGCTGTTTTTTTTTTTTGTTTGTTTTGTTTTGTTTTGTTTTGTTTTTAGTATCATGTAACTCATTCCTCAACCATTGACCCCCTCACTGCCTGAGACTTTCCACCCAATGTACTTCTATTACCTAGGCTTAGGCTCAGTAGATGTTTAAATTATGTCTGTCCTGTTACTTCTCTCCATGCAACTACTCAAGTCTAAGTTGGAATGTCTGAGTTAGTGAAGGGTCAAAGAAAACAAAAGTGAATTGTAATTTAGGAGGGAGATACATGAAAATGTTATTCTAAATTGAATTATTCCCATGTAATGAAGTTATCCATCACATGGACACTTCCATTCACAAAGTACCTCATTAGCCAGACTACTTTCCTCTGGATTACCTGCAACCCCAAACTTTTCAATCTCTGGAACTAAGTAGTCAAAGGCAAATATTTTTCCAGAGCACAAATTACTCAGTTTAGGGTAAGAGATAGAAAAGAGAAGGAAACAAGCTTCAGAAGAATAGTCTAGGTGGGCATTTGTTCTTCTAAGTCCTAAATCTTTCAAAGTCCTTCTAGAACTAAGTCAACCCTGATCAAAGATGTTTAACTTTACTTGTGAGTTCAGATTTTTGTACATAACCTGATCACTTATTTAAATTGTGAAAATTAAAATATACAGTGATTTCAAAAGTAATAATTGAAACCAGTATGATCCTCCTAAAGAATTATCTGGGTATTTTTCACCCAATATGTCTCTAGGTTTTTCTCTTTTGGCACCAAACAACTCTACTGCTATATCCCCTGGAAAACATCTTTTTTTGTTTGCTTTTTTTTTTTTCTAATATGAATTAAAGAAAATGTCTAGATACATTAAGAACCTTCAGTTCAAAAAATGTTTGGTTGTAGTCAGCAAAATCAACATCATGGGCACAATGGAACAGAATATTTGAAAGCAGTGTATATATACATATACACTTTTAGAATACTTGATTGATTCCCTTTATCTGAAGACATGATTGATGTGTAAAGCAGCTGCCTAACTAATTTTTGCTTCTCCTTGAGTAAGTTTTAGAAATGTTCCTCTGTCTTAAGCATGCTGGTGGATAAAAACAAAGGTGATTTCAGGTGTCTCTTGATTTGTGATTTGAGACCTTCCCCCCTTAAGACTGCAATTATAGAGAAAGAAGCCTGTCATTTTCTTATATAGTTTTACATTTAGAAGCTCTGCTGTCAACTTATATTATATGCTGCCATTTACCACAGACAACTACATTTGGCTACATTGCATAATAATGAAAATCACTGTAATCTATATCAACACAATGAGATAATGAGATGATAATAAGACTTCAGTACCTTCTCTATGTGCTAAACAATTAATTTCAGTCACAGAGGTGTTCAGCCAGCTTGTTCCACCCCATGTCTGGTGTCAGACGTTTGTGTTCCATCAACAAAGACAAGGGGGTGTAGGGGATTCCAGCAGACTGTGGGATACACTTGTCCCCATATCTGTGAACTTCCAAAAATTATTCCTGAAACTTACCTGTCTCCTCTGGATTATTCTCTGGCAAAACTCTTAATGGGGTTTTATGTGTCAGGACATATCTAATAAATTCATTTCAAGATAATATTTGGGATATCATAAAATGTCTTATGAACAAACACAGACAAATACACCATAATCAACAATACCTGAAGATTTGGAGATTAACTTGTCTAGACTCATAAGATTTTCACATTAATTTCCCCTGAAATATCAGACCCATCTCTATAGAAGTTATTTGTCTGAACCAAGGCAGAGATTAAGTCTAGCATGCTGGAACATTTTTATCCTAAATGAAAGCAAGATATGATTATGTGCAATAGCCACAACATTAAAAGGACTCAGTCCCCATAATATTTTTGACTATTTGTGCTAACAGAAACTATTTTTTTTCCTCATGAGTTTCTGCCTTAATTTAAGATGAATTTTTATGACATTTGTGGTTGTTTTTATCCAAGTGTTTCAGCTGAAGGTTTCTATTTTGAAATTCTGAGAAAGAGGAACAAGTAGTCCTAGTTTTAATGGATTTAGTAGTGCAAGATTATTAACATGAGTTTGAAGATAAATATTACTATTATTCCATTACCATTTTTTTACTATGGCATATATTGGACTTTTACTTGATTTATATATGATATATATATGATATATATATATATATATATATATATATATATATATATATATATATATATTGATTTCAGAGAAGAAAGAAGAGGGAGAGAGATAGAAACATCAATGAGAATCACTGATGGGCTGCCTTCTACAGTCCCCGCCCCCCACTGGGGATAGAACATTCAACCCAGTTATGTGCCCTGACTGGAAATAAAACCGTGACTTCCTCATTCATAGGTCGAGGCTCAACCTGTGAGCCACACCAGCTGGGCCTTTGGTTTGATTTTTAATTTAGGCCTCAAGCTAGGAATTAAGAAAACTACCTGTCCCATCCCAAGTGTGTAAGAGTAAGCCCAAGTGCAATTTACTTTTGAAAACTCATGGGTTCTCTCTCTCTCTCTCTCTCTCTCTCTCTCTCTCTCTCTCTCTCTCTCTCTCTCTCTCTCTCTCTCTCTCTCTCTCTCTCTCTTTCTCTCTCTCTCAGTTTCAGCCAAACCGAGACCCAACAGTGATGAGTATTCAAAGAAGATTCCTCCTCCAAAGCCGAAGCGGAACCCGAATACTCAGCTCAGCACATCTTTTGACGAAGCCTACCTGAAAAAGCACGCGCCCAGGAGGACCTCGCTCACGCGGGACGCCTCCCTCTCCCAGATGGGCAGCCCAGCAGGGGACCCCGAGGATGAGGAGCCCGTGTACATCGAGATGGTGGGGAACATCCTGCGGGACTTCAGGAAAGAGGACGACGACCAGAGCGAGGCTGTCTACGAGGAGATGAAATACCCCATTTTTGACGACTTGGGCCCGGACTCCAAGTGCGACCTGGACCACCACGGCTGCTCTTCGCAGTGTGCTACTCCCACGGTGCCTGACTCGGACTTCGCCAGGTCCTCAGTGCCATGCACGCCCAAGGGTTTGCTTTGTGACATCCCCCCGCCCTTCCCCAACCTGCTTTCCCACCGGCCCCCTCTGCTGGTGTTCCCGCCCGCCCCGGTGCAGTGCTCCCCCAATTCCGACGAGTCTCCGCTCACCCCGCTGGAGGTCACCAAGCTCCCGGTGCTCGAGAACGTGTCTTACCTGAAACAGGCCGGAGCATCTCCCTCCTCGCTGCCCCCCCACGCCTCCGGCCACCCCAAACTGGACAAGGACCAGAGCGGGGCCCTGGGACCCCCTGCTGCTGCCGCCGCCGCCGCCGTGCTCTCCTCGTCCCCGCCCCTGCCGTCCACCCTGTACCGAACGCAGTCCCCCCACGGCTACCCGAAAAGCCACTCAGCCTCCCCGTCCCCTGTGAGCATGGGGAGGTCCCTCACCCCCCTCAGCCTCAAGAGGCCTCCCCCCTACGACGCCCTGCATTCCGGCAGCCTCTCCAGGAGCTCCCCATCAGTGCCTCATTCCACCACCCCCAGGCCCTTGTCGCAGGATGGGAGCAAGATGGTCCATGCCTCGGTCAGCACCTATGGGGCAGCTCCCGCCAGCGGCTCCCGGTCCAGGACGCCCACGAGTCCTTTGGAGGAACTCACCAGCCTCTTCACCTCCGGGCGAAGCCTGCTGAGGAAGTCGTCCAGCGGCCGCAAGTCGAAGGAACCCACAGAGAGTAAGTTGTGTAGGTCCAGTGCTAGCCTAGCGGGTCAGTGTGTGACTTAACATCACAGGAAGCTCTTAGGCGCACAGAACGCGCCTAGGTAGGGCAGGATCGCCAGTCCTCTTAGTTGAAATCTCAAAAACGTGGTGCTTTTCTTCTGCCGTGGTACAAAAACTAGGGTTCTCTAGAACCCAAAGTGAAAATCTGTACATTATAACCTATTCATTTAAAATGAAGAATGCTTTATTATTATTTTTGTTATTATTGCAATGGAAAGTTTCAATTCTTACAGTGGCTCTGGAAAGACTATAAAGAAAACAGACCCTGAAATGTTTAGGTAACTACCTTGATGTGGAGAGAGAAATTATACATTCAAACTATGGAATTGATAAATGTTAAATTTATCCTGTATTAAAAGCCCAGTTGAGATAATCTGTGTTAGCAAATGTCTGCTGGAAAGATAGCAATTCGGACGGAACTTAGTACTTTTTTAACATATAATGAATGATTCTGTATGCATATGTTATGTTGTTACTAGTGGCCCAGTGCACAAAATTCGTGCACAAAGGGGTGAGGTCCCTTAGCCCAGCCTGCATCCTCTCCAATCGGGGACCCCAGAGAGGATGTCCAACCACCGGTTAGGCCCAATCTCACAATCTGGGACTGATGGTTCCTAACTGTCACCTGTCTACCTGCCTGATCACCCCTAATTGCCTCTGCCTGCCTGCCTGTGTGCCCCTAATCCCTCTGCTTGCCTGCCTGATCGCTCCTGACTGCACTCACCTGTTGGACTGGTCTCCCCTAAACCCTTATCAGCCTGATAGCCCCTACCTGCTCTCTCCTGCTGCCTGATCTCGCCCCTAACTTCCCTCCCCTGACAGCCTGATCTTGCCCCCAAGTGCCCTCCCCTGACAGCCTGATCTCACCCCTAACTGCTCTCCTCTGCTGGTCTGATTGTCCCTAACTGCCTCTGCCTGCCTGATTGCCTCTAACTGCCCTCCCCTGCTGGTGTGATCACCACTAATGACCTCTGCCTCAGCCCCTACCACCATGGCTTTGTCCAGAAGGAACTCAGACTTCCCTAAGATGGCTGGTCAACCCAGTCTTATTAGCATATTACCCTTTTAGTAGTAAAGATAGATTATATAGGATAGAATTGCTTCAATTTGGGGGAAGCCTTTTTCATCAGGAGGAGATGCTCTTGGCAGACAAAAATACATAATCCCTATATCTGGACTGATAGCCAGCCATATGCACAATACTGCCAAACCAGTCATTTAAAAATTGAACTGCTTTCTTACACTGTACACCAAAGAGCTGTTGCCTAAAAACCCCTCCTCAGCCCTCACCTTAGGTTCTGCTTTCGCAGTTCACCCAGATTAGGTTCTGATTGGTCAGTTTCTATGCCAGTCAGTGTCAAAAGCTCCACCTTCTAGGCAGCCATTGGCTCCTTGCACTTCACCCAGATTTGGTTTTGATTGGTTGGTTTCTATGTCAGTCAGCATCTCTGGGCTAATCAATGGACCTGATCAAAGAGATGAGGTTGATCCCAATGGAGGCCTGAGAGAAAAAGAGATGTGGGTGCTGGCTAGGCCCCAAGAGAAAGAAAGGCAAGGACTGATCAACAGCTGCCATTGAGGCTATGGATCAGACCCTGCTTCTCTCTCCAGGCCTCTCTTTGGGCCTGATCCACAGCACCTTTGGTAGTCAGTGCTGGGTCCGGGCTCCCACAGCTGTAGCCGTTAGTGTTGGATCACCACAGCAATCCAGCACTAACTTCTTGTCAAGCAAGCCTTTGGTCATTTTGGCTGTTATGGACCCTGGGTTTTTATATATTAGGATAATCTAACCTTCACTCTAAACTATAATAGGTTGGTTGTTTCCCTTTTAAAGCCAGGCTAATTAACACATCATTCATCTGGTTCTCTTCCTGGATCCATGCATATATAAACCAGGGAAAAATCACTAAGTGATAAATAGGAAGGGAACATTATATTTACCACTGAATTTCAAAGACCAGGAAATGTCTGTATCTTAATGTCTAATCCTTTTGTAAATCTGAAATTACTCCATAAGTATAGAATAAAGTAACAACAGACACAGTTTTTCCAATGTCCATTTCATTAAATTCCACTGCTTTTCTGTATTTAAAAATGCCTTAAGCAACTATGTTGATAATTTACCATTTATATCTCAAATGATCCCAGGATTTTTTTTAGCTCTTTTAATTTAATTTTATTGTTTAAGGTATTATAAATAGTAGTACCTCTCTCCCTCTCTCTCTCTCTCTCTCTCTCTCTCTCTCTCTCTCTCTTCCCATCCTGACCTCCCCAGGCTTCCCCTACCCCTTGGCACTTGACCTTATCCTCTGTCCCTTATAACTATACAGTTATCTGATCCATAAGGACAATAGTGTCAGGCTTAGGAAACCATGATCTATATTTATTAATGTTTCTTATAGATGATAAATTGGTTTAAACACACATCAGGTAAGGTTTTTGGAATAAGATGGGAGAAAAAATAAAGAAAACAACTTTACTTTCAAATATATAATAGTGACATTAATAGAAATTTCATCCTAGAATTAGTGAAATTGTTGAATTTTCTCCTTACCTACCAGTTTCTTTGCAGGATTCTTCACAGCTCCAGCTGGCTGCTACACCAATTAGCTAGAAAAAGTATATGTAAAAGAAGTGATTAACTAATGGAGTTATTTCAAGAAAAATCCATCTGTTAGAATCAGTCTATGTGTTGTATGTCACAGACTTATCCAGTTGACTCCAAAATGAGCTTTGTGTGCTTCTAAAACAAAGCTTGCATGTGGAAAAATTATCCAGGCCCTTTATAGCTTTTAGGGATCTGAGGATTGAATTTCTTCCCATGTCCTGTTAACCATATATGGGCTCTTCAGGAAAAGGGCATGACCTGAGTTATTTTTAACTTCAATTTTATATAAATAGAAGAGAGGAAAAATGCTGAAAGCACAAGTGTATAATCTAATGGTATTTACTTTTGACTCTGGAAGATAAAAGAAAGATACTATCAGATGCTAACAAAATCATAGAGGTTCTCAGAATCCATCTATAATCCAAAAAGTAGATCTGAAAATTGATGATAATTGATAGTTAACCTATAATTATTGTTGCAGTATGGCCAGTGATACAACTCTCCCATTCACCCTTGCCAGATAGGATTTATAGATGCCTGCTGATACCACAGGAATGGAATAAATGATATGAAGCAGTATAATATTCATTACTCCTGAGTCTCAAATGGTATATGTATTTTTTTTTAATATTTCAGGAATAAGAGTTATATGGGTATGTCTATACCCCTCTGGCTTTACTGGAAATGCCAAATTTGATAATTTTCTAGTATTCAATTTAAAGCACATTTACTCCTTTTTTAATTTTTAAAAATCCATGTCAAATAAAATTTATGGCTTCAACTCTTATTTTTAATAAACTGTGAAAGACAAAGCTAATTTAATAATTTCATATCTTAAAAGCTTACAATTCTTAATGGGTATAGGGCAAAAGGCAGAGATAAAATGAGACAATATGGGAAGATTATGAATCAAGTTCATTTCACTTCACAATTTTCTACATACAGCCTTCACATTAGTTGTTCTCAGAAGCATTTTTCCAGGTTGATAGGACATTGTAGTGTTGTTTAACTATATATGAGGACATTTGATAGTTTCGCTAATGATAATAATTTTTATTTGAATTGGTTATTAATATTTATTAATTTTTTGCAGAGAGATGAAGTATATGAGGCATGTAAGAAACAATTAACTTGCATTTTATTGTTGTAATTTTTTTGTCTATACACAAAAAGTAGGTGAAGTATAAATTTGATTTAAAGTGAATTTGGAGGCTCAAATTATAATTTTCTACCTATTATTTTTTAATCTTCACCTGATGACATGTATTTATTTTAGAAAGAGAGGAAGTTAGACAGAGAGATAAAGAAACATCCATAAATTGCCTCCTATGAGCTCTGACTGGGGATTGAACCCATAACTTGGGTATGTGCCTTGACTGGGAATCAAACCTACAACCTTTTAGTGCATGGGACAATGCTCCAAGGAACTAAGACACACCAGCCAGGGATCTAGGTCATGAATGGAGCTAAAGAAGGTATAAAGAAAAGAAATTATGTAGATCATTCATTTAGTATTGTTATGAATAAAAAGCAAAAATGGTGGGCTGGCATTGCCAAAGAGCTTCGTCATATTCAACAACAGTTTACATTAATGGAGATACAGAGTTTTCTACTGTTAAGTTTCACTTTTCAACCTTTTAAACATTCTCTTATCTAAGAAATATCAATTTTTCAAGAACTGGTTTGTCCTGGGAAATACAGAATGAATGCTATTTTATTTTAGGAGAATCTATACATTTTGTTTAGCTTATTTAAAATATTCTTTTAAAATAAAATTCAGCAAACAAAATAATTAAGGAATTTATCTGTCTTTCATTCCTGTGAAACTAGGGGCTGACAAAGAGTGGGTAGGGTAAAGCAGGTATAGTTCTTCCTCTATATCTCTGAGGGACTTCCCTCAGATACCAAAATCCAAGGAAACTCAGGACCCTTATATAGTAATGGCGTAGTAGTTACATATAACCTCTGAACACATTCCCTCATACTTTGATCTCCAAATACATGGTAGGGCAAAAACACATTTACAGTTGTTCCTATGGAAAACAATAATCCTATCTAATAAAGAGGGAATATGCTAATTGACCATCACACTCTCACAAAGATGGCAGCACCCACAGCATAAGATGGTGGCACCCAGTCCCCTCAGACCCACCAGGGCGGTAGGCATGTGGCATGGCCAGGACCTCCCCCAGGCCCCTTAGCGCCCCACCTGCCCAGAGCCAGCCTGAGGCACAGGGAAGCCTTGGATGGTGGCTGCCCAGGTAATAAGACCAGCCGAGGCTTGTGCTGTGGCAGCAGCAGAGGTATGATGGGTGTGTCACCTTCCCCTGGTCACTAGGTCCCCT